AAAAAAAAAAAAAAAAAAAAAAAAAATTAAGAAAGAAAGACCAACAAACCAAGAAAGAAAAAAGAGAACCAAGATGAAGTATATTCCTATTTAATGAGGTATAACCATATTAACTTTTGCCTTTCATTTGAAGGCATTGAGGCTGTGTTGAAAAGATTTAGCAGAGCTTCAGCATGACCATGTTTTTTACTTTGAATTTTGCTCTGTGGTGTACAGAGGATGTTGGGGCATTCAAGGGAGCCGGGACCAGGACAGCAGGCAGCCTGTTGAGGACGGTCAGCCTGTAGTATTCCCTTCTGCACAGGGTCCTAGTTGAGGAGACTTGTGTCCCACTGTAGATGTGGGTGTTTTCCAGTATCTCACTGGGCATCTTCCTGTGTCAGGTCTGTGCTGGCAGCTGGGAACAAAGCAGGAAAGGTCCTAATCCCCGCCTTCCTGGAAGGGACAGGATGGGCAGGCCAGGAATCAGTAGGGAATGGCCGAGTACCTGTTCTTCTCAGGTGTGGGCAGCGCTTTGAGGCAGCTCACAGTGGCCAGGTGGGGAACACAGGAGATGGGCACCAGCACTCTCCAGTGAAATTGAGACCCCAACAAGTAGACCAGAAGCCACCCAAGAATGGAGGGGAGAATAGAAGCCTGAGGCAAAGTCAGTGCTGAACTGAGTCCTGCAAGAAGACCTTGTCATCCTTATACCCGAGACAGGGCTGGTGCTTAGGTTTCAGGGGCTGTTCACGGAAGGGGATGGAGCCTCTGGGAACTGCTCAGCTGTGCTGTCATCCTGAGCCATGGTTAGCAGTTGGGGTTTACTGCAGGTGAAATGGGAGGCCTTCATCCAGATAGATACATCAGCCAGAAAAGAAATGGGGCGGGGGCGTAAGCTGAGGGCACAGTGCTTGGGATTATCCATGAGGCCCTGGGTTCCATCTCTAGCAGTGCGACAAAAAAGGAAGGCGAGGACAGACTGACAGGTGGTATAATATGGTGAACCTTACTAAGTGAAAGAGACCTGTCACAAAAGGCACAGAACGCATGGGTCTGCTTAGAGGTTTCCTGAGTAGAAGAGCAGGCGGCTGGTTGTCAGGGGCTGGGGGAGGAAGGGGAAGGGAGTGACTGTCGAATGTGTAAGTCTCCTTGGGGATGTTGAAAACTTACTCTACAGATAGAAGAGGTGGTAGCTGCCCAACACTGTAAGTGTGTTAAATGCCTTGAATGGTTCACTGTAAAGCAGTTAAAATACTACACATGATGTGATGTGTATTTTGCCACAGGACAGGAGTGATTCCTCTTGCCTGCTGGTCCCAGATTGCAGACACAGTGACTTGTGATGAGGATTTTTGTTTGCTTTTGTTGGGGTTCTTTTTTTTTTGAGACAGGGTCTCTCTGTAGTTAAGGCTGGTCCTGAACTCACTGTGTAGACCAGACTGGCCTTGAACTTGAGGCGATCCCTTTGCCTCAGCCTCTAAAGTTCTGGGATTACAGGTGTGTGTGCATTGCTGTGCCCAGCAGTTTTTAAGTCAGTGCCTCATGCAGATGAGGTGGGCCTCAAGCTTGCCTCAGCCTCAGTGATGAGGATTTTTGTTACAGAACAGATTTATAAAAACAAAACAAAACAGATTTATGGGGCTTGGAACATGCTAGTTCCAACTTGCCTAGTTGCACGAGGGCCTTAGTTCATCCTTGGCACCACACACACACACACACACACACACACACACACACACACACACACGCACACACACAGAGGAATCATGGTCATTGGCTCTGTGCTGTAAGGGCTTCACCATGCTTTATGTTTTAGAATTTTCCTTAGAAAATTGAGTTCTCCTTTGTTCCCTTTCTTAACCACAGATGTTGGCTGATGATGCAGAAGCAGGTGCTGAAGACGAGAAGGAGGTTGAGGAACTGAAGAAGCAGGGCATCAACCCCCTACCCAAACCACCGCCTGGTGTGGGCCTTCTGCCCACCCCACCTCGGCCCCCTGGGCCCCAGGCCCCCACGTCTCCCAATGGCAGGCCCATGCAGGGTGGCCCTCCGCACCGCCCCCTCCTGCCGGGCCCCCTCAGATGCCCATGCCGGTGCACGAGCCACTGTCTCCACAGCAGCTGCAACAGCAGCAGGACATGTACAACAAGAAGATCCCTTCCCTGTTCGAGATCGTTGTGCGGCCCACCGGACAGCTGGCTGAGAAGCTGGGTGTGAGGTGAGTGCTTCAGCCCCTTGGCTGCCCAGGCCCCAGTGGGTTCCTGCCTCTGCAGCTGTCGGCGTTCCTTTCTGGGACCCATGACCCTGAGCTCTGACCCTTTCACTCGTTGGAGCTCTGCACATCCCCTGGGGGTGGGTGCCGCCACTCCTCCTCAGCAGCAGCTCTCACAGCCACCATTTCCTCTTCTAGGTTCCCTGGACCTGGTGGACCCCCAGGGCCAATGGGTCCTGGGCCCAACATGGGACCCCCAGGGCCAATGGGGGGCCCCATGCACCCCGACATGCATCCAGACATGCACCCAGACATGCACCCTGATATGCATCCGGACATGCACCCTGATATGCCGATGGGCCCTGGCATGAATCCTGGCCCCCCCGTGGGTCCCAGCGGCCCTCCCATGATGCCCTATGGTCCTGGAGACTCCCCACATTCTGGAATGATGCCCCCCATCCCACCAGCCCAGAACTTTTATGAAAACTTCTACCAGCAGCAGGAGGGCATGGAGATGGAACCAAGCCTCCTCGGGGATGCAGGTGCGCAGGGCTTCTGCAGGTCATCCTGGGTGCTGGGTTTAGCAGGATGGAATGGGGTGAAAGTGTGATTTTTTTTTTTTCCTTGGTCCAAGTCTCTCTAAAGGCTGCACTTCAGCTCCCATCTTTGTCCCATTTGATGGTCAAGTGTTTCTTGTGACGTCAGGCTCATTATTTATTGTTACATTTATTGTCATAATGCTTTATTTTACTTGTTTCTTTGAAGTGCTGGGGATGAAACACAGATCCTCACATATGCTAGGCAAGCACTATAGACTGAGCTGCACTCTGGCCCTCTATTTTACTTTGAGATAGGCTTTCACTAAGTTGCCCAGCCTGGCCTCAATCTTGGAAGTCCTCCTGCCTCAGCCTCCTAACTATCTGAAGTAGCTGGTTACCTAAGTATCTCCAAATAGTCATGTCTACCATGGCTGGCATTTTATTTAGTTTTTAAGAATTTACACAGTATGTCGGGTGTGGTGGCGCACTCCTGTAATCCCAGCACTTGGGAGGCTGAGGCAGGAGGACTGCTGAGTTCTAGGCCAACCTGAACTACACCTAACAAGACCCTGTCTCAAAAAACAAACAAACAAAACCTTTTAAAAAAAATCCCATAACTCTTTTGCAGAAATCGGGTGCAGCATTTAAAAATAATAATAAAGACACAGAGTAATGCAGGGAGGGACATCTGGAGTTGTGGGGCCCTGGCAGGGACAGTAGGCAAAGGCGTGCCTCTCTGGGAAGGGAGATGAGAGGCCATGGGGCTGAGCTCCGTCCTGACAGCAGCTTGTCAGAAGGGCCCAGTGTGCAGAGGAGGGTGGGGGTCCCTGCAAGGGGCAGCAGTGGCCCTGTGGCTATGAGGAGTGCTGGCAGTAGACAAGGTCCATGGGTGGGAACTGGAGGTGCGTCTGGCTACGGTAGAGTGGTCCACAGCACAGGTGAGCAGGTGTAGCAGGGTCAGGCTTTGTGGACTGGACCCAGCTGTTCTGGGCAGGATGGCTCAGATGGTGTGGGGCAGTAGCCTGACGGGCCAGGCCTGCTGGAGCAGTGGCATGGGAGCGCCCTTCTGCTTCGGCCCTGTGGAGATTCTGAAGGACTGGTCAGGGCGTCATGGGGCCCTGCAGGGTAGAGATGCAAGTGTGAGCAGCTTCTGTGAGTGGGGAGGAGGCACCGACGGTTCTGTATCAATGTGTTTAGACAGATATGGAAAGGGCCCTGCCAGGAAGGAGACCAAGGGTTAGTCAGCTTGTAACGGTGACTTTAGTGGTATCTAGGGCAGCAGTGGCACACCTATGGCCCATGTGCTGCACCAGGCTGTTAAACTGCACCATCACTGCCCTTAGGTAATTTACTATTTTAAAAAATTGAGATGCGCCAGGCATGGTGGTGCACGCCTGTAATCCCAGCACACAGGAGGCTGAGGCAGGAGGAAGACTTGAGTTTGAGGCCAGCCTAGGCCACATAGTGAGTTCAAGGACAGCCTGAACTACATCGAAAGACCCTGTCTCAAAAAAAAAAAGGTGCCATCAAACCCACTGTACCAGTTGTGCCCCCATGTGCCATTCACCCATGACTGTGCCAGGCTCTGTGAAGAGGGAGCCTCAGCTGTCCTGTCACTGAGAGTCCCTGCCCCCAGTAGGTGTGGCACAGAACAGGCTCCCACCCACCCATCCTGTTCACAGCCAAGTGCACACAGCTAGCAGCAGGCAGTCTCACTTTTTTCAAAAACTTGAATAGGAAGAATTTGCCAGTTTCGCAATATTTAGTGCTGTTAATTTTTCCATAACACTGGCCACACTGCCAGTGCTCAGTTGCCCAGGAAGGCTAGAAGTGGCTGAAGCTCATGAGAAAGGCACAGCGCTGACTGGATGCGCTCGGTCTTTGGTACTCTCGCTCCTCTGTGCTCTGCACTGCACATGCTCACCCAAGGGTCAGGAGTGGCGCTGGTGACAGTGACTCTGCTCTAGTCCCTCAGCTGGGTGGAGAATTCAAGGCCTGCACAGGAGAAGCAGGAGAAGTTGCCCCCCAGCCTCTGGGTTGCTGCGGAGTTTTCACTCTCCTCTCTGGTTTTTTTTGACAGGGGTTGTTTTTTGGGCGAACGTGGTTGAGCTCATTCTGTGAGCTCACCATGTGATTCGGTGGTGCAAAGAACCATGAAACCAAACATGCCCATCACAGATGACTCAAGCTAGGAGCTGGTGGGGAAAGCAAAATCTCCCCAGGTCTCCCACCTCCTGTCCCCAGGACTGTCCTGTGTCCGTCCTCTCAGAGCTTTCTCGCATTGTTACACACGGGCAGCTTCTGCCCTGTTTCCACTCGTGAGCACTGGCCTGAGTCGCCGCAGCCTCCCAGCCGTTTCGTAGTTGGGCCTGCCTGCCGTTGGGCTCTCCATGGGTGCCAGGCGTGGGAGGGTGGGCAGGGACGGCTGGACGTCCACACATCACCCTGATGCTGGCTTCTCCACTGAAGGGTTGGGGTAGAGTTGGCGCCCTGAGGCCCTTCCCAACCCGAACCCTTGGTTCTTCCCCGCCACAGAGGACTACGGGCACTACGAAGAGCTGCCGGGGCAGCCGGGGGAGCCCCTCTTCCCCGAGCACCCTCTGGAGCCAGACAGCTTCTCTGAGGGAGGGCCCCCAGGCCGACCGAAGCTGGGCAGTGGTGTCCCCGACTTCCTGCCCTCGACCCAGAGGGCTCTCTACCTGAGGATCCAGCAGAAGCAACAGGAGGAGGAGGAGAGAGCGAGGAGGCTGGCAGAGAGCAGCAAGCAGGACCGGGAGAATGAGGAAGGCATGTGTCTCCCAGGGCAGGGCTTGGGGACTCCAGGTTGGGTTTCCTGTCAGGTAGCATCCTGCATGCAGGGAGAATCCCTGTTTAGAGCCGCAAGATCATGTCAGGCTACTGCATGTCCCTGAGAAAACTAGAGGCCAGGGCTGCCCTTCTGTGTCTTGGAACTCAGGAGAGCCCCAGCCCCATTGAGCAGGGCAAGTCCCTGCTGGAGACAGCAGCTGGCAGCACAGGCTGCCCACACCTCCCAAAGGAGCCTGGGGGCCTTGCTCCTGTCCCTGGAGCAGTGTGCTCTGCAGGAGCAAGGGCCAGTCACTGAAGTCGCTGTAGGCATAGGGCCCGGCCAGGTGGTCGGCCTGGTGGCGCCCATCTCAAGAAGTGTGCAAATAGCATCCAGGACCTGAGGCCGCGGCCATGGGTGCCGACAGGAGCCTGGGAACAGTGGGGAGGAGGGGTGCACAAGGCGGACCCTGCCCCAGGTGGCTCAGATTCTTCTGCCAGGGTTTTGCTTGCGCCGATTCCAGTGGTCATTTGGCCCACCCTTCCTGGGGTCACGGTAAGATTGTAAGGGACCTGAGGATGATGTCTCGTACTTGCTGAGGGTCAGCAGTGCAGCCCTGCCTGGGTGTCCTGGCTCACTCTTGGCTCTGTCTGATGGGGACATCAATGACATGGCCTCCTGGGGTGGCCAATGAGCTGTTTAAATATGACAGACCACTCAGAAGCCGGCACACGGAATGCTGCACAGACAGCAGCCCCAGCCTGCCAGGCCTTGCACTGGATGCCCAGGCCTCCTGGGTCTCCTCCCATCCCCCATAGAGGCGCCTTGAGAGCAGAGACCTTACAGTTCTGTGTACCAAGAGCAGAGTAGCCATTGGCCCCATGGGTGGTCCGGGGAACCAGAGGGCTGGTGGCATATATGGTGACCACTCACCCCTCCCCGTTCCTCTGCTCTTTCTTAGGTGATACCGGAAACTGGTACTCAAGTGATGAGGATGAAGGTGGGAGCAGTGTCACCTCCATCCTCAAGACCCTGAGGCAGCAGACATCTAGCCGACCCCCGGCTTCAGTTGGGGAGCTGAGCAGCAGTGGGCTGGGGGACCCCCGCCTCCAGAAGGTGCACGCTACTGGAGGCCGACTGGCTGACCCCCGCCTCAGCCGGGACCCCAGACTCTCCCGCCATGCT